CCCACCAATGACTGATGACAAACTTAACACGAGTCTTTCAGCCAATACCATCATGGCTATACTGACCAATTGCGTTCAACGGACCAGACTTATAACATCATCAACTGACAAACACTATTCACTTGACTCTGAAGATGACTTCCGCTCAGGTTGTCAAAACGTCAGTAACCAACAACAGTTCTTTTCAGAACTACACTCACCCGGACGATCACACTATATGAACTAATGATACAACTAATTAGTAATTGGACCTTGTGTCATACATTTCAGAGAGAAATTGTACTCATAATTTCAAATCGGCCTCGCGCTGCACACTCGTCAAAATTTGAAATTGCTGGCCTGATTACTCCCTGAAAATTTGTAATCCAATCAGTCAAATTACTATTAATAATTACTAAATAAATCACACTCAATTTGACTGTTTAATTGTAATTCTTTTACTCAAATTATATTTTAATCATCTACTATAAAAGTTATTACTGTCAAACTTACTGTCAAATATTGAACACCAATACATACAAACATATTATGTCTGGAATGTTTATTGTGTTATAACCAGACACAAGTGGGTAAGCTCCAGAAACTATAATATACACGTTGCTGGGGTTTTGGGGTATATTGATACCTTAAGGCCTCAAAACTATGCATCCTGTATTTTTGTGGACACACAGTGCATGGTATGCAATATCTTAAGGGGTAGCACAAGTTTTACTTACAAGTTTCTCTGTAACCAGGTGCCATCTGAGGAGGCAGTTTTTGAAGCTGTGATTTCTTGGATCAAGCAGGATAAAAAGAAGAGAAAGGATATGTTGCCTGGAATGCTGAAATTTGTTCGTTTGCCTCTTCTCACTCCACGGTACATAACAGATATAGTCGACAGCGAGGCAAGTAAACTCAGCTGCCTAACTTTATTATAATTTGATAATTTAATTATGTTAGTTTGCTTGGCTTGTGATTGTCGTGAATTTGCTCACTAAGTCTTGTAGTGAACATCAAATTTGGTATGAATATTGACAAGTTTTTTTAAGTACAGTTGACCAATATCATATCCACTGTACTCTACGTGGTTGACTCCCAATAACTTGAACTGTCATGGGGAAATCATAAAAGGTTTGAATTACAGACATAGCAGGAGTTTGAGTTATCAGGGGATAGAAACAAATGAACAAAAATTAGAGCGAAAAGCAAGGTGTTGTTTACCTTTGTCAATTATTGTTCAAACAATAACAATAAATGGAGCAACATTTTGTAGGTCACTTTGTTTTCCATTAATCATTCATTTGTTTATTCAGTTATTCCTTTGTTCATTTGTTGGTTTGTTGGTTTGTAATTTACTCATTTGTTTGTTTGTTTGTTCGTTCCTTCATTTATTTTGTTAATCAAGTGCTTATGCAGCTACCACGTCATAGACCTGTAACACAACACCAAGAAGCTTAATAGCACAAAAAAATTAATATATTTATTTATATTCTTCACTGAAATAACACAGATCCATAATTATAACTCAAGGCTTGCTGCAAAACAGTCTTATTATCTTCCAAAAGCAAGAGCAAATTATGGAATATGCAATACAAGATTTCCAGGTCCATCAGTATGGAGTTCCATCATGAAGATATGAATTAAATCATCTTCATTGTCTTTGTTTAAAAAGAAAATAAAGCACCACTTTATTAATATTATTAGATATCCATACTAACATTTCTCTTGATAAAAATACTGTTTTGCAATGTAAGAACTTTAGTCTACTGGTTATTAACTTATTACAACTTTTTTATTTCAATCTATTATTTTGTGTGTCTCTGTTTGTTTGTTTGTGTCCCTGACCTTAACATGTAAAATAATCATAACTATGTTTCTTTTAACTGGCCATCTCGCATTTTTAACTCTCAGGTTATTTAGGGTAGCCAGCACCCCTTTCCCTTTGGTTTTTAATTTAGTAATAAATTGTTTCTAACTCTGGGATGAAATAAAAGTTTTTGTTGTTGTTTATTGTTTGCTTTTGTTGTTAAATATTATAGACACTTCACGAACACAGTTGTGCGCATTATTTTCAAATTAAATTTCATGTTTTAGAGTATGTTTTGACTCATTTTCATTTTGAGAAAGGAATTTGAGTTTTCGAGAATTTATTGGTAATTAAAGAAAATGACCTGAAGGGAAAAAACAAACCCCTTTCACCTAGTGGGATTTTCAAATTATCAAGGGTTTGAGACCTTGGAGGTAAAACTACAGTAAATGTAAGGGGCAAATCCAGGGGAAATTAATTTTCGTTCATGTTAACAACAGATTAGAGTAACCAAGACTTCAAGTTACTAGGAGTCAACTATAGTAAGAAACCATTAGTCGACCATGTTATCATCATGAGTATCATCAGTGACAGCATGTTTTGTTAGCCAAATTAATATATAATAATGAGTCAGCTTTCTGCTTGCTTGAATTGCTTGCTTCAAATAAAACAATCTTACAAATTTTGTGTAGACCTATGTTATTTGATTGCTCAAATAACAAACAATTAACCTCTGTCGTTATGAGCAGAATGGTTTTTGTCTGACTGACATAAAACAAATTAGATGTAGGTACAATTTTGCACAGTGTACCCACAAGAAATTGTTTATCAAAAAACTACGAGAAATTTGACACATACGTGTATTTTATCCCATTTAAATGTTGTTTACTGGACTAAAATTTAATGTTGCAGTTAATTTAAAATTACTGACAATATTGTTATTGATGATTTCACAGCAACTGATAAGACAGAGCCTTGATTGTAGAGACCTTGTAGATGAAGCTAAGAGGTTCCATTTAAGGCCTGAATGCCGTTATTCAATGCAGAACTGTCGAACCAAGTCAAGGGTTGGCCTATCTGAAGTCATGTATGTACTGGGAGGTTTTGGAAATTTGCAATCTCCTGTTGATGTTGTTGAGAAGTATGACCCTGCAACAAACCAGTGGTCTGTTATACAGGTACGTGACTGTGTAAAAGCTCAGTTGTGGACAACATGTTTACTTAGTAGTAAGTAGAGTTGAACATGTTGTTTAGAAGGGACCCTCAATTTAATCAGGAGCTCAACTTTGTCTTACTTTTTTGTACATTTGGTTTGGTGACTATAGAATCAAGGCTCTTCATATAATGTACAAGACTAGCATTTTTAAAGTGCGAACATGCTAATTACTCTTGTTAACATGAAGCACATTCATTCTTAATTCACTAACAAAATGTACAAAAAAATGTCAAGTGTTCAAGGTTCGAGTGTCCTCACTGTAAGTATTTCAGGGTGTGATAATGGTGACATGACTACCAACCAAAGAAATTTAAGGCCCAGACAAATTTAATGTGTCATATGGTTTCCTAATCCACAATATTGTACCCCCACCCCTATCCCTTCTTTTTTAATTCAACTGTTGAAAATATTACATTTAATTATTTTGTATAATATTGCTGATTACTGTCCCCTTCCGTGATTAACACAGAGATGAATATAAAATTGTACTGCATCAATGTCACATTGGACTGTGTTCTTATGTTGTAATGAGTTTATTTTTTTTACTTCTGAAAGAAAATGTAGGGTTTGTTTAATAAATACATTTTTTGTTCAAAGAATCTTATGTTGGTTATAATTTATTTTAAATTTGAAAAGCAAGCTTGTCATCTCTTGAAAACTTTACAATTGATCTTCAAACACTTGAAATAAAATTATATACATATTAATTTTTTATGTACCAGATGGGTATTATCTCACTTGATGCAAGCTTGATCATATTCTATGCCAACATGGAACCCATATCTTTTTGGTGAGAGTAAACATGTCCATAGTAGTTTACAACACTTACAGATTGATTTTGTTTTGTAGCAGACTGACAACTTATTTCCACACAGTATTTCTTCAATATTATATGTTGCCATTAGTGATGATGGCCATTACTAGTAAGTCATACTATGGTGATAATAAATTATTAACATTTTTGCAGCCAATGACAAGGAAACGACGCTATCTAAGTTCAGTGGCCCTCAACAGTAGACTGTATGCCATTGGTGGCTATGATGCTTCAAGTCGTCTCAATACTGTTGAGTGTTTTGATCCGTCAACAGCCCAGTGGTCAGTTATGACTCCAATGTTACAGAGACGAGGCTTGGCTGGCGCAACAGCATTAGCAGGTATAATGAATCCAAAGTCAAGAGGAACTAACATAATAGTAAAGACTGGTGCATCAATAACCTTTGTTATGATAAAGATTCCATATAATGTGCACTCTGATTGGCTGAAACAGTGTACTTTATCAGAGAGCAGATGCACAGTAAGCTAAATTTCAAATTTTTGCTTTGGAATTTTGACAAATTTGACCCAAATTAAACATCCCCTGAGACTCAGAGAAGCCATTTGTGTGCAACAAGCCATTTGTCTGCAGTAAATAGAGCTGCACAGAGGCCATTGTTAACGACAGAAGTGTTAAAACTGTACTAAAGTTTTGCTGGATTCTGGATTCTGGATTCTGGATTCAAGTTTTGCTGGATTCAGTCATTTATATTATTTAATATAATTTTTTTTTTCTAAGTATCAATTAATTCATTCTATTTCACACATTCACTTTTAGTAGTATTATCTTTCCTTTGCATTCTTCACTTGATAATGGTGCCAAGATGACTTTTCTGTTATTTAGCTTATTTTTATGGCCAACTATTATTAATTTACCAATGTAAAGCTGATTTCAATCCTTAAGAATATTAATTTGTTGATTTTTTTCCCCTTTTTTACTTCAAAACAAAGGAAAAATATTTGTAGCTGGAGGATTTGATGGTACAACAAGGCATACCAGTGTTGAATGCTATGACCCAACAATTGACAGATGGACCCTTGTTAGTGAGATGCAAGCCCCCAGAGAAGGAGCTGGCCTTGCTAACCTTGATGGCATACTGTATTGTGTGGGTGGATATGATGGAAACAGTATTTTAAACAGTATTGAGAGGTTTGATCCCAGAACAGGACAGTGGACTGGTTTGGCCCCAATGAGTACCAGGCGATCAGGTATAGTAAAAGAAGTTCATTGTGAACTGCTGGCTCCGGTTGTTCGAAGGCTGGATAATACTATCCACCAGATACATCACTATCCAGTGGATAAATGTTAACAATATTAACAAACTTGGCCACCCGCTGGGATAGTGATTTATCTGGTGGATAGCATTATCCACCTTTCGAACAACCCGGGCCTGGTTGAAGTCATGAATTAGTTCTGACCATCTGTCTGCAGCATTGTCGCTCACTTCTTTAGCCTCCTTCAGTTATGTTAAATTTAAACAGTCTTGTCTGAAAGATATTATAAGGAGTTTGTCCCAGTAACTCCCTCTTTTGTTAGGAGGCTCATAGCCTTGTAGATCAGGCAATACTGCGGTTTTGATCCTTCTGGATCTCATCAGTTGCCAATAGCAGGGAGTGGTAGAGACCAATGCTCGGTAACACTTCGCACCTGGCATATTTTTTTGATATTATATACTCGTTTGGCGGAGCGAGAATTCTTAATTGTGATAGGTAGTTTTGCCACCAGCGAATGGTGAGCATAAAGTCTTCAATCCCATTGTACACAGCTTGACACTGTGTTTTCTATGATGGCTATAATGCTTATTTTCTCCAGCACGTGTGATTTGAAGTTAAGGATAAAGCATAGATAGTTATGTGTTGTAATTATACGGCATATCTCCAAGTTTTGGAGGGTTCTGTAGAGTATTTTGCATGCATTTCGTATGTTTATCCTTTTTTTAGTGTAGCTAATGTACACCTTGGACTCACATGCTGTGATTGGATTAAGTTTGTACTCACACGTGATAGGACGTGGTCTTCCTTCCGTGATAAGATGGGGCCTTCCAGTAAGGAGGGAGGTGAATCCACCAATCCATGCTATTTTTTGTCAAATCTGTTGATCTGCCAATATTTTCATTCAAATCCAGAACCACATTGTTTGAAAACTACCTGTGGTGTAGTTTCATTGTGCAACAGTATATTGATTTTATAACATGTTTGGTTTTACTCTCTCCTGGGGGATGGAGTACTCTATCGTATAAGCCTTACAGGTATGTGCTCCAAAGGGAATGGTTTTTGAACTGTTTTGGTCTGAAACAGGGTATATACAATTCAGCCATTTCATTTTGGTTTGGATATGTTTGGTGTGGAACATACTTACAAAATGAGATGGTTTTGTATATAACTAACTAGTCTGAAATAATAACACCTTGTAAATGTAAATATTGTGGTATACTCCAAGCACATACCACCATTTATTTAATGATTATTCCATTGCACTTTATTCAACCATTTTGATATATTGGTGTCATGCATCTCTGATCTCCTTCTCATACAGGTGCTGGAATAGTAGTTCTTGATGGGCAGCTGTTTGCTGTTGGAGGCTATGATGGCACCCAACATTTGTCGTCTGTGGAATGTTACAGTCCATGTAATGATCAGTGGATGAGTATTGCACAAATGAAGTCAAACCGGTGCTATGTAGGGACAGCTGTGATGTGTGGCAAGCTGTTTGCAGTGGGTGGCTATGATGGTTTGTCACTGTTGGACACATTTGAAAGCTATGATCCTTTAGTTCAGGAGTGGACACTAATGCCTTCTATGGCAACAAGTCGTTGTGACATGGGTGTGGCTGTTCTGTTTGGACAGTGAATAAACCCTAAATTCTTTTAGGTATTGTAGAAATGTCACAAAAGGTAATTGGGTGGTGTGTACGATGTAGCTTGTCAACTTACATTTTTAATTGACAGATCTTTAATTTAATAGTTATATATTTATAATATTGTTAGGAAGATTATGATGTAAATATGTGCCTGAAGAGTCAAAACTGGTTAGCTGCTTACAAATTAGACAAGAAGAAAGGGTTTTTGAGAATTCGGACTGCAGAAAAATTTGTACAATGTTTAACAAGTTGATACTGATTTAATTATTCTAAAGAATACTCAATGTAAGCCAGTGTGCTACGTAAATATAATGAAAAGCATGGGGGAAAAAGACAGGTTTCCTTACCATTGTTTATTTTCAGTTCCTTTAAACATTTGCAGATGAATAGCTAGCCATTTCATTACTAACATAATGTTTCTGGTATTGGTTGCAAACATAATATGTAAATATGGTTACCAGTCGATAAGTTTCGGCAGGTGGGCTAGAGTAAAAGGAAAGGTAGGTCAGGTTCTAAGCCCCACAAAAAGGTAGATTGTGCAGAGCGTAAAATAAAGGGTGCTTGTTACATTTTTATTTCTGAAGGTTAGTAAATTTTCATGCCTAATATCCCAGTACCTATGGTGATTGTTATTGTGAATTAAGAGTAGTTCAGTTTTCCAAAACATCCTAGTTTGCATAAAAAAAAAAATCTCCTTTTCATTGATTGCTGTTGTTATGGTGGTAGTGGTTTCAAATTACACTAAGATCTCGATTTTAATCTTAACAACAGATGGAAATAAATCTTATGGTTTAAAGAACTTTGAGAGTGGACCCAATTATTACTCCAGACACTGGGATTATAGTTATCATTTTGCTGTTAGCAACTTGAACCACCTCTGAGTGTACACAGCCAATCACATCCCAGTAAACTGAAACCCTGATCAATTTGTTCACCAGTTGGTAACCTGCATGGCATATTTCATTTCTGCAAGATCTTAATTATCACTGCAATTTGTTTTCTTCTACTCCACACCCTGTCTTCATGACCATTCAACAAAGCAGATGTTGATGTTCAACTGTTGCTAAGCATGGGATATAACACACTGGATGGGACCTTCACCAGTCAATTCTGCAGAATTTGTTCTCAAGGCAAAGTTCTCAATAATCTGGATGTTTTATATGTTGCAGCTGTTAATTTTTGGTTAACTCACTTCTCCCTGTTTGGTGCAGAGAAGGCTACTATGACTGGTATCTTTTGGAATTACCCCTAGCTCGATTGAAGAAATGTCATGTACTGTTTTTAAACTACTCTAGTGTTTTTGTCAGGATTCAAATAAAGAGACGAAACGTATTGCTTCACCTATTTATTTAACATATTTATTTCTCCTTTTAATTGTCCCCATGAAAGATACCAAAAAGTTAATATTCAGCCTAAAGTTTCCCTGAGGTAGTATATATTTAAGTTGGTGGCATTAAAATATAATGTCTTGTCAAGGTTTCAGCCCCAGCTGACTACCAAGGTCAATACAAATTGGGAGAGGACAGCAGGTGTGAGAACCTGTGTTGTGATTACTGTATCACAGCTATACATTGCACTCTACACTATCTGAGATTGTTTCACTAGTTTACTAGATAAAGGATACACCCAACCAACCCTGTCTCCAAAGGGAGGGAGAGAGGGAAAAAAATCAATTACAATACGTACTAACCACATTGCATTCAAACACAAAGTGGTTTCTGAACAGTTGTCTGAGCTTTTATCTGCAGACGTTCGTCAGCTGGTAAGCTGGTAGAAAGAGCTATACTACTGAAGAGCCTACCCTAACTTGTGTTAAACTGCACCAATGCTATCAATCATTAGTTATATCATTCTGAAGGTAACAAGCAAAAATGTTTTAGGTTTAAGAAAATGAAGCTTACAGTTTGTTGACCTTTGAAATAGACTCAACAATAACTTTATAGAGAATGATCTCACCTTGAATGGCTCATTGTAAACAGACGTCGTGCTCCATTAACAACATACCATAGTTACTGCCTTGAAAGTGGATTCTAATTTTTAATACATTGAACAAAGAGAGCAGTAATTAGGAACATAGAATGCAAGGAATTCACAACTGCAGGACACACTTTTACGTCATGGTTAAACAAAATTGCAGCATGTAGAGTGAGATTTGCTTGTGTCGCTAAGGGCAAGATGGGTGGAGAGTTAGTGTTCTGCTTATGCTGGCGTAAATGTTCTGCCAAGGCGTGAATGGACAGTCCCTTTATGGCTGGGACATTTAAACCATAGACACTTGGCACCTTTTTAGTGTTTAGGATTATCCAGAAGGCCCTTCATATACAAAAGGAGTAGCATTCTTACAGTGCAAAATGCTCATCCTTTTGTTTATATGAAGGGCCCTCTTTGGATAAGCCTAAAAAAAAATGCAGTTAAGAAACGTCGTGTTGATTTATTGAATTTTCTCACTGTGAGTTTACATATTTTGTAATGCCACTTCTTTAACCTAGATCACAAGGTTGTGCATCATTTCTTTTTGCACTGTAGAAGAGACCTTATATAAAGCATGCCGTAACGCTGCTTCTGCAGTCTCATTATGTGGGAAATTCAATTTTTCTGAACTGAGAATTATTTGAATTATTTTCAGAAATGTTGGTGATCATTTAATTTGTGGTATGGGTTATCCCTTTTCAAGGCTGTAATGGCCTGGTTTAAAAATAGCAGAAAGTCTTCTGATATTTGAGTACTTTGGTTGCCAGACGCTCTCCTTGAGTGGGTCTGGCTGAAAAAAACAAGCATCACTTGCATGGATGTGACAGCCCCCTCCACAACTAAAATAACGAGAAGTTCAAACAGGACTTTTCATATCATACACTTTAGTTATCGCCATAGATAAAATACAGTAGCTTTTGCAATAAAAAACTGACTAAATACAATCATTCTTGCTCGGTAACAAAATTTATTATTATTTATAATATAGATAGGACTCTGCGTGCCCTCTGATTGGTCAAAAACCCATGTTTTATCAGAGTATCAAACAGAGAAAAGGGTGTTTTATTGTTAGTGCACATGGAAAATCTATGTCATAAAGTAAATAAAGAAGCCTAAGCCATGTATTATACTGTGGTAAAGCACTCTGAACATTTGAGAACACTTGAGAAATGAAGAAAACACTCGCCTGCAGCCCATGTGTTCTACATTTCCCTCTGTTCTCAAATGCCTGTCGTGTTTTATCACTGTAAAATACAGCTTAGGCTTCTTTATTTGTTAATTAAATTAAGACAAAATGTTTGTAAATTAAAACTCTAGTGTACTGTAGCTGACTCTGGACTAACTTCATTTAGGCATGAAATATATAATATAAGAACCAAAAAATGTTATATTTTTTTGGTTCATACTGACAAGTAGTTCTTGAAATACTTGTAAGAAATTAGAAAGCCTATTACAAAGTGGCAAGATCCTTCTGAGATCCTTGCAACATTTAGTCCTTGGCTTTTGGGAACAAAATAAAAATAGTTGCCTTCAACAATGGCTTGTGTACTTGTTATGTTATAATTGTATCTCGATATGCAGTCAAAAGGGTTGAAGTGTTTCACTTAATATACAGTGGATGATTTGGTACAAATTTCAAATGTTCAACTAAATAATGGAAATCATCCAGCTGTTAGCTCTACTGATATGAATATTTTTTTATGAAAATAGAGATTTTGGAAATGCTCTGGGCAGTTCTACAGTTATGTTATGGTTAATGTACATTCATTTGAAATTAATGCCTCTGTTATACATGCCTATTTGCTTCAGGTGACTTGAACATGGCAGCAGTTGTGGGCATAAATTATTATTGTTAAACAGTTTTAATTTACTGGTTGCTATATGGTAGACTAAAACTTTCATCTCATTCAGTAATCATTTTTAACAACTGATAAAGGGCAGTGGAATGAGCCCAGCAGTACTATTTATAGGGCTGTACTGTGGTTGTTTTGACCTGTCAAAATAGTTAATTAAGATGTTTGACTATCAGCAGTCAATCAACATCTGTAATTTAAACCTTGAATCAATCATTGTTTATTGTACATTCATAACTATGTGAACCTTGTACCCAGCATTCATTCTGTAATTGTACAAGCCTTTAGTATCAATTAGCCACAATTTAGCTTTCAACACCAATAAATAAGCCCAACCAACAAAATTGACCTACTAAATATATTTAATCAAAAGCTTTCTGCTTGCAACAAAAGTAGCATTCATTACTTCAAAGTCACCAAAGTTTCCATTTGACATCAATGTCAAATTCATTTAATGTCCGTATTCTTCATACAGGCTGTGGTATTGTTGTCCTTACAATAGCTTCAGTGACACGATATGGATCACAGTTTGATGAAGGTCTTCTGTCTTCAAGATAGCCCTTGCCATCTTCAGCGCATTGACGTGGAATGCGCACACTAGCACCTCGATTGGCCACTCCATGGGAGAAGTTTTCAATGGATGATGTCTCGTGGTGCCCAGTCAAACGTCGCTTGTTATCTTCACCCTCATTGGGGTCGTACATCCTTATGTGGAAGTCATGTCTGTTTGACAACCTTTCGATGGCTTCATAGATGTACTTCATTCCTCCTTCCTCTCTCATTGGCTTGGTACTGCAAACATTGAAATTGAAGGCAAGGTCAAATAATCACCTTTAAGTTAGGACGATTAACAATGAGCTCCCTAATTTCCCAGGGAGGGTTCCCATCTAAAAAGGACCAGAGTGGCTTGTTGTACTGTTTAGGGGTTAAAAAAGCTGTTTTGGTTCCTCTTGAGTGTCGAGCCTCAAATGGTCCACAGCGGGAGCTTTTACAGTACCCTTTAGGGTATTGATCCAAAAAAGATATGACAGGAGACAACTGTGTTGTTTCACAGTTAGTTAGAAATTAGTTCAGACAAGAAATAAATAAAAATCAATCAATCAGATAGTTCCAATTGTCCAAGTATTTGTCTAAAACCCCAAAACTTCAAAACCCCATGTTCCCTTCATCTAAGCATCTTTTTAGAGTACATGTTCTTTTAATCTATGTTATCAGTAATGCATGTAGTTTAACCTTTGCAAATTGCTTATTAATAAATACCTGTAGTTTGTGTGGGCTCCTGCTCCATTCCAATCTCCTGGCACAGGTTTGGGATCAAAAGTGACTTTAATTCCAAAGTCTTCTGCCACACGATGTAACAGAAACCGTGACATCCACAGGTGATCACCCATTTCAATTCCTTCACAAGGTCCAACCTGATACTCCCACTGAAAAGACAGAAGTAAAATTTGTTATCTTTGCACGGTTATCACAGTACACATGATATACTGAAATATGTGCATGTTCTTTCTATTCAACACTATTGATGGTGTGCATTAGTATAAAAGATATTGTTACAACTCAATGTAAAATAAAAAGTTACTATATATTTAAAATCTGGACTTTGGCATTTTAATAAAAGTGACAGTAAGGACCATCGTCATCCCAGACCTACAAAATGTCGAGGGTTAAAATTCCAGAACTCCAACAAAAAATTCTTAACTTTGCAATAATATCATGCACCTTGCTAAAAGAAGTCAGCTGACTGTTGAATATTATTATAACCTGTAATCTACGAATGTAAAATAAAATCCATTTTCAAGACTGCCAATCAAAATAGCAAAATTCATACATATGAAGCAAAAAATATTAATTCTCTACCTGTGCAGGCATGACTTCAGCATTAGTTCCAGCAATCTTAACTCCAGCATACAGACAGGCTCGGTAGTGAGCTTCTACAACATCTCGCCCAAAAACATTTCCAGTACCAACAGCACAGTAGTAGGGGCCTTGTGGTCCTGGGAAACCTCCCTTGGGCCACCCTAAGGGGTGTCCATCCTTGTCTAGCAATGTGTACTCTTGTTCAATGCCAAACCAGGGGTGAGCATTCTTTGAGAAAACAATCAAGAAAACAATTAATTAGAATTCCACAGTTGACAGTTCTGATAGCCCCACGTGCACAATGGTCATTAAATCCTGCTAGCCCGTGCACTACGTAGGCTTGACCTTTACCAAAAGATAGGTGACCGAGATATGCCAACTCAGGTATAATGAGCACTTGCCCCGGCTTGTGCAATCTAGCAGCACTTGTAAGCTTCAATTAAAGCCTCACAATCTTAAGTAAAATGAGCGGAGAGCTATTTTACGATCACTGTATTTCTGTGCCAACTGCACGGCTGTTTCTTTGGCTGCAAACACTAGTTGTGGTAAAGGTAAGGGTTATATATTAGGAAGAACGTAGCGTGACCTTCACTCCAATCTTAATTAACACGTCTTACTCCCGTCGTGCCGCACTGCACGGATGCGTCTGCAAGCATTTTCAAGGTGGGTTTTTTTTGTATCTTTTTTGAGTTTTTTCATGAATGTAAGCTGTAAGAAACACATGTTTAATATAAGCTTACCTTTACAACGTTGCTTTCCATGACATCAAGACAGCTTTTTCTTGTGTTGGTTTTTGTCGGCTTATGGTTGTACTGGTAGGTCTCGCACAAAACCAGTTTGTTTTTTCCTTTTCTGAATGGATCTCTAAACAAAGCCACAGGATGCAGATAAACGTCGCTATTACAGCCTTCGGCCTGATATGTACTGGAGCCATCAAAGTTCCATATGGGTAGATCTTCTGGTCTGGCCGGCTCTTGGTTCACTGTTTTCGTCTTGCAGCGAAGATGTTCGCCAGTTCCGTCCACCCAAATGTACATGGCTTGAACGTTCTCGCCTTGATCGAGCGACATATAGTTCGACAGCGTGTACTTATGTTCTCCTTCCATGATGAACAGCTAACCCAAGAGACCAAGACCAGTCGCTATGTGCGTCCCTGTAGAGTCAAAGACAAAAACTTCCCTCTTAGTGAATGGACGAAACACTTTGCAAAGTTTATATAGAGGGCGCGTAAAGCTGTAAGCCAATCAAAACTCGTGTTTTATTACGTGAGCTGGTCTGATGTACAGGTGATTTGCTTATTACCGGCCTGAAACAAACACGTTGCGTAAGGTATCAGGCCTGCATCAAGTGCCCTTTTGTTTTGTTGTATTTGATAACAAATTCTATTAAGGATGGCTTTACGTCAGGTCTGGATTGTGTTTCACGTTGTTTGTGTAAATACAGTCCTTGACTTTTCTTAATTTCTGTAAATCATTTGGGCGATTTATCGATCTTCACGATCAAATCTCATTGTGCTTCAGTTTTACAATGTTCATATGGCCCCGTTTAGATTACGACAAAAACTAGCGTTTGGCGTTTGCAAAAACATTAAAACTTTTCTAATTGGTTTCTGTAATCCATTCTGTAATGCGTGTGACAGATCACGACACTGTCACGTACGCTGCGTCCAATTCATTGCCAAATAAGATGACTTGATAAACGCACAAGGTATTCTCTCGACTGACAGTTAATTCACGACCTTCAAGGCTAGTTGACGGTATCTTCGAAGTTTGGTGGCACTCGCGAAAATTTTCGTCGGTGAAAAAAACATCAGGGAAAATGGCTTCGTGATGACAGATTTATTTGCAAAACAAACATAATTTCGCATTGTGCGAACAGGGCCTTATTATTGTTGGATTTTTGTTTTGCGTGTCACGGATTTTTACTGGAAACAGGTGCGAGACACGTCTGTCACGGATACCGTCAGCACTGTAAATCTTTTGAAGTCATTCTATTTAGGACAGTCACGAGATTTCTTTTTTTAATCTATTTTTCTTGGCCTATAAACCACTGAGCTCATTTGTGTTGGCAGTCTCGTCATGTCGAATTTGGCTCAGCACTCGCTTATTTCAAATCATAAAGACAAGAAATGTCTTGCCTAAACCAAGGACAATGCCAGTATTCATATATTTCTTGGCCCGGATCTCCTAAGCTTTCCGGGTAATGACTTGAAGAACTGTCCAAGTATAAAATCAATTCACGCCAAAAAAGCTATTCCACTCACATGACGTTATTCTAAGTGAAAAAACAGAATTTTTTCAGTCCCAAATGAAGCCTGACAATCACGTGGTATACTCCTCGTGACATGGCCTGAAGCGCTTGCTTTTACTATGTTCGTTGGTTTGCCGGAAATAAGAACATAAACATGTATACATGTATTTGGACGAGTGAAAGATTTCTTGCTTTTTTATTCCTTTATTTGCTATACAGAAAAACTGAAACACTCGATTACTAATACGACTAACTTTTGAAAATGGCTGTTTCCACAAGTTCGTGCGGGTGGTTCTGAAGAACTGTCTGAAGACCTCTTTGAGGACCCGGTCGGGTTCGAGTAGTCAGAAACAACAACAACAACAAGGGACAGTTTATTTACATCGCGAGGACGATCACACTAGAAAAATGGTTCAAACCATTTACTAGATTGCAGACACTACTGATTCAATTGCAAATACAGGAAATAATTCTGCTGCAGTTTTTGAGTAATGTTTTTTTGTGTGCTATATGTTATGATTGGACGAGTGAGTGATATATGTATGACATGTTTATCACACCAATCAGGTTTGGGCTAATAAGAACAACCAATCAAATTGCTGCTTGTAAAGGTGAATCGTGTGTGAAGATTTAGAACGGCCATTTTTGTTTTTCTATAAACAAGATCAGGTATCCTTTTAGGTATTGGCCCTTCTCCAAAATTTCCGTCCCCGCGTTTACTGTGGTTAAGCGCAGAGGCCAGGACTTTGTGGCTGGGTTTCAAGAATTGGGATGGTTAGGGACATTCGTACGTGATGGTATTTGCATGGCCCGGGTCGCCAGCTTTCAATCGATATCGTTTGCATTACGTGCAGTTCACGAAATAACCGTTTATCGGCGCAAAATGGTTCAGTATATGAATGCAAGATGTCTCAATCAAGTAACGCTAATTACGTTTAATACCGTCTCGCTGAAACGTTCTTTGGAATCGATACTCATTTGAAGGGGTCTTCTCTGTTAGCACAAAAGAAACTACAGACGGCTAATTATATGAATGAGAACTGAGTTTTGAAAATTGTTATTTTTGTTGCGAGTAAATGTAACAAGACATTTTTATTTGTTAGTTGCAAACGGTAACTTGACACTGACTTTTGTTTTTCACGCCCAAATCAGTGGCTCTTGTTCCCACAATAAACAAACAAGAAGCTTTTATCTATCGGCAGCTCCACGGAATGTTTGGACGTTTCTTTTTATAGTCTGTCTTCAGTGGCATTTTAATATCTTGCATTTATGGCTATGGCAATACTTAAAAAGGTAATTTTCAGCAAAGATTTCATAATAGGTTTGTGGTATGGAAACTCTTCAAATATTCCTGAAGACTCCATGGCGTCAAGTTAAACCGCAAATTAGATACTGGTTCTTTCGTTTTGAAACAGATTCCTTGCGCGGTTTTAAAACAGAGGTCAAGTTACCTGCTTCATAGCATAGTCCTTTAGTCACTAAAAAGGCACTCGGTCGTTGGAAAGGGCTATATGACACAGAAACTTCCCAAACTCTTCAGATTTCGTGGCGTCTTTTAAAATTTATACAGTCTTTCAGGTGTCTGGTTGTTTCAAGTCTCAAGTTAAATAACGTTGTTTTCTCGTTAAAATAATAAAAAAAATAAATAACCTTTATTTACCCTCGGCAATGTTTATAGCACAAGTGCTAGTGGGGCCGAGAAAGCAACTGAAACAAATAATTCAAACTGAACATAACATTGTTAAGAATCCCAACTGGCCGGAGGCAAACCAGTTGGCTATTTACAAGCGTAGGCCGAGGATTTGAACTCGGGGCTACCGAGAAACAAATCCAGGTAGTGGGCCGGAGCGGGACTCTAACCCGGGACCGCTGGATTGCGAGTCCGACACGCTGACCACTCGGCCACGCTGCCTCCTTTGTTCTGACTTGCAGTGATGTTTTCTCGTTTAAACGGCTTTTAAAATCGACATTAATTTGAAGTTCAACACCAGTCTGCCGTTTGCCGATGGCTACTCTTACGTACAGACTGCATGACGTTTAGCTGTCTCGCTAGGAGCAGTTACATTTAAGTTGGAATAAACAAAACTACTGATAAAATTGTTAAAGGGGCTCAGTCACGGTATTTTGAGTTATTTTGGCCACATACAAAATTACCTTTAAATGGTAGGAAACCTGAAAATAACAGTTTAATAAGATAGAAATTATGATAAACCATAAAGGAACAAGGATGGCTAACGATGGAAAAGATTAACACGGATTACAAACGACGAATTTGAAAAATTGAGGCTAGACTTTTCAATATGCGCAAACCGTGACTGAGCTCCTTTAAAATCGCTCCTTGATCAAATCACGCTTGATAGCACATTTCTGAAGTTGAGACAATTTCAAGATTTATTTTTGCTGTACATCGTGGACAAAGAAAACTTGGTGGATTAACCTACGCTGTAACCTACATGTAATCGGATCCTGATGCTACCTCCGGGGGCTTTTAATTCACCAAAAATAACTCTTGCACGCCTTGCGTGCCTGCGTTTTGCGCCTAATAGTGTCGTAAACTGATATCGAGTTATGTCCATGTTAATGCTCAAAATAAACGTAAATCTACCTCGGTTGTTGTGTATTGTCACATCAGCGGCTAAAAATGGCGAATTTGAGGGATTTGGTGGGTTTTGCGTTGACTGTTACTACACGTTATAAGAAGGAGACAAGGGTGGAAAGCTCATTTTCGACCGCACCAGCGCCACTCTTTAGGGGGAAGCAAACCGCCAGAAAGTAAAACTCCCTAAATGGCTGTAAACCACCTCCAGGAACCCAGAGACATCAAAATAACGCAATGCAAACATAAGGTAAACCATTTTATTCAAATTATTTTCTACGCGTAGTATTTAGAGTAATTTTCGAGGCATTCTCATACATCGTCGTCTTATAAACGGCTAAAATTGTAACGCAATCGCCAACATCATAATGTCACGTATTAATCGTATTCAACGTCTGGGCCGCCTGTGCAGTAGCCTGCGTAGCAAGCGTTTCTGTGGTGTTCGGGAGCAAAGAATATTACAGCGCGAAAAATAGAGCGAG